ACTCCCATAGCTACCTGGACTACACCTCCTCCCACCCTATGCCCTGCAAAAGCTCCATCCCGTTTTCCCAATTCCTCCGTCTCTGTCACACCTGGTCTGACATTGAGATGTTTTCCACTCCGAAACATCCCGGATGTTCTCCTATTTCAAACAACATTCTTTTCCCCGCTATGTCATCCAGACAGCCCTCCCCCGCGCTGCCTCCATTCCCCAGTCCTCAGCTCTAAAACCCCTCCCCCAAACATAATGAAGGTAGGTCCCCCTTGTCCTCACTTTCGACCCTACCAGCGCCCACATCCAATGTATCACCCTCAAACATTCCGCCAACTCCAATTAGACCCCACCATCCAGAACATCTTCCATTCCCCACCCCTCTCTGCCTTCCGCAAGGACCATTCCTTTTGCCACTGCTTAGTTCATGCCACACTCCCTACCAACCACTCCAACCTGCTTGGTACCTTCCCCTGTAACTGTAAAAGATACAACACCTGTCCATCCAAGTCTCCTAAACAGTGCTTCCAGGTGAGACAGAGTTTCACCTTGCATCTCCTCCAACCTAGTCTATTGCATCCGGTGCTCCTGATGGGGTCTTCGCTACATCATTGAGATCAATCGTAGACTAGGTGACTGTTTCACTGACCATCTTCGCCTGGCCTGAAATGGCCAGCTTAACCATCCGATCACCACCCATTTCAGTTCCCCTCCAATCACCCCCCCCCCCCCCCCCACCCCCGACATGTCCGTCCTTGGCCTACTCTAGTGTCACAGTACATTAGATTGCAAATTTAAGGACAACACCTTATCTTCTGTAGACAAATAGGAGGCTGGAAGAATACAGCAAGTCAGGTAGTATCTGGAGGACAGGAGAAGTCAACGTTTTGGGTATTACCCTTCCGCAGTGCTGTTCTTCCAGCCTGCTGTTTGTCTACCTTGGATTCCAGCATCTTTTTTTTTTTGTCTCTCACACCTTACCTTCCGCCTGGGCACCCTACAGCCTGGAGGACTTTACTCGGAGTTCTCCAATTTCAAATAACCTTTCCACCCATTCCCCAGCTCCATTTCCAGCCCCTTCCTTCCATTCCAGCTACCAACCGGATTCATCCCTCCCATTGACCAACCAGGTCATACCTACTTCTGGTGTCCACCTATCACCTCCATTCCTCTACCCTCCCCCCACTGCCTCTCTTTATCTGCAGCTCCCCCTACCCCCACATCCAGTCCTGAAGAAGGGTAATACCCGAAACGTTGACTCTTCTCCTCCAGATGCTGCCTGGATTGCTGAGATTTTCCAGCCTCCTTTCTTGTCTACCTTGTTCCTACAGAAAATGGATCTGGGGAATTGGTAATGAAGGATGACAAAACAGCAGGTGAACTGAACAAATATTTTGTTAGTTCCTACAAGAGAGGATACAAGTAACAAGAATTAAAATAGATCTCAATTCTCACGAATTGTTGCTGAGTAAATTGTTGGAATTGTGAGTTGACAAGTCCCCAGTCTTAGAACATAGAACATAGAACATAGAACATTACAGCGCAGTACAGGCCCTTCAGCCCTCGATGTTGCGCCGACCTGTGAAACCAATCTGAAGCCATCTAACCTACACTATTCCATTATCATCCATATGTTTATCCAATGACCATTTAAATGCCCTTAAATTTGGCGAGTCTACTACTTTTGCAGGCAGGGCATTCCACACCCTTACTACTCTGAGTAAAGAACCTACCTCTGACATCTGTCCTACATCTATCACCCCTCAATTTAAAGCTATGTCCCCTCGTGCTAGCCATCACCGTCCGAGGAAAAAGGCTCCCACTGTCCACCCTATCTAATCCTCTGATCATCTTGTATGTCTCTATCAAGTCACCTCTTAACCTTCTTCTGTCTAACGAAAACAGCCTCAAGTCCCTCAGTCTTGATGGATTTGATCCTAGAGTTTTGAAAGTAACACATAATGAGATAGTTGATCTGTTGGTTTTAATTTTTTTCAAAACCAATTCGATTCAGGGATGTTCCTTTTAATTGAAAAATGGCAAATGTAACTCCTTTCTTCAAAAAGGGAGCAAGGCACAAATATTCTTGTTTTCATTCAGGGGATATGTGTGTTATTGGCTGGATCAAAATTGTCTAGCCCAAATTTATTTTGAGAAGGTGATAATGAGTTTCCTCCTTGATCTGCTTCAGTCCATACTGATTGTCAGGAGGGAGTTTCAGGATTTTGATCCAGTGATAATGAAAGAACAGCAATGCACTTCCAAGTCAAGAAGGTGAGTGCTTTGGAGGGCAATTTGAAAAAGGTGATGTTCTCATATATCTGCTGTCTTCTAGTTGGCAATGGTTCAGGGTTTGAAACATTTTGTCTCCCTGATCCATGTATTCAAATCTTTATAATGCACCAATTGCCTGCTCTGGCCAAAGAGGTGAGGCTTCAGGATTGATTTGCTGAGATATCTGAGGAGGCAAACATCAATGAACTGACATCATTGGAGTGTTTTTGATATTCGTCTCTTGATGTGGTTGATATGACATTTAATAGCTGCTAAGACTATCTGAGAATTATACAGCATTGCACTAATTTGTTAATATTGATCATCAGAATGCTCCTGTTTTTGCTTATTGATTGGTTGTGCACATGAGGGCACGGTGTAATTGTGGCAACCTGATCATAGAGATTAATATCTAACTACATACTTGTTTAGTCATTGAGGAGAGTGATGATACAAAGAAACTCCAAATCTATAACTATGATCAATGGAACCATTTTATATGTAGACTGGAACCAGAAGGGAAAGCTGACCATAATCGAATAATGCATGGTGAAAGTTACCGCAGATAAAGATTTTGTGGCTTGGATGGTAGTTCTATATTCCATACACTGGATCATTCCCTTTGATGGTAGACTGACATTTATGTGGATTTCTGTGATTTAATGCAAGAATTCTTCACTGGGACTTTTAATCTTTCAAAGTCATTGTAGTTTCTATTGGATTGGATTTTGCATCTATAATTGCAGTGTAACCATCAACATTTGCCATCACTACTCTATGAAATTGCCAATAGCTTCTGTGTCTGTATATGCACAATTAAGTATGGAAATTGAGAAGTCACTTTGTGTCCCTGCTCCTCACTGTTGAAATCTTCATAGATGGTTGTTTTTTTTTAGAAAATTGAACTGACGAGCACATCCTCTTTTACACTGCAGTAACCCCACCCTACCGAAATTGATATACCTTGTTCATGAAACATACCTTTTTTTTGAAGTATGTTATTTCTGACCAACTCTCTCTACTCCAGGAACACTAATATTATTCTTTTGAATTGTGACATTCTTTCCACTACAGTAATTCAGTAATTTTTTACAGTAATTTTTTGAGGGGTGGATGGAGTTCTCTATAGGGTCATACAGTCAAATGGAAATATACCCCTTCGGTCCAACCAGTCCACGCCGACCATAATCCCAAACTAAACTAGACCTGCCTGTCTGCCCATGGTCCACAACCCTCCAAACATTTGTTATTCATTTACTTGTAAGAGCATAAGAACCAGGAGCAGGAGTAGGCCATCTGGCTCTTCGAGCCCACTCCGCTATTCAATAAGATCATGTCTGATCTATTCGTAGCCTCACCTCCTCTTACCCATCCTGTCACCATAACCCTTAATTCCTTTACTGTTCAGAAAAAAATCTGAGCTTTAAAAGCATTCAATGAGGAAGCCTCAACTACTTCACTTGGCAGGGAATTCCACAGATTCACAACCCTTTGGGTGAAGAAGTTCCTCTTCAATTCAGTCCTAAATCTGCTTCCCCTAATTTTGAGGCTATGCCCTCTCGTTCTCATTTCACCCATCAGTGGAAACATCCTCCCTGCTTCAATCTTAACCATTCCCTTCATAAAATTATGTTTCTATGAGATCCCCCCCTCATTCTTCTAAATTCCAATAAATCTAATCCCAGCCTACTCAATCTCTGTTCGTAAGCTAGCCCTCTCAACTCTGGAATCAACCTAGTGAATCTCCTGTGCACCCCCTCCAGTGCCAGTACATCCTTTCTCAAGTAAGGAGACCAAAACTGTACACAGTATTCCAAGTGTGGCCTCACCAGCACTCGAGACAACTCCTGATGAAGGATATAAACCCGAAATCTTGACTCTCCTGCTCCTCTAAGGCTGTCTGACCTGCAGTGTTCCTCCAGCCCCAGACTGTATTTCAGTTTTTGATGTTCATTCATTTATTTTGTTCTCTTGTGAAATTTGCATAAAATGTTCAATCTAATCAGTGCTTTTTAATTCCTGATTTACTGGTGTGAATTGTGCAGTGTTTTTGGCTGGCTGCTCTGTCTGATGATGTCAATGATGCTGGAAATTGTTGGCTAAGTCGTCTTAAATTTGGCTAAGCCATGATCAGTGTTTTATGCAGCGGTTTCATTGCTGGTGGTAATAGGTGACAAAACTGTTACATTAACTTCTTACTGCGAGTTGACTTTTTTCCCAGATGATAATGTGTCATCAATTCATTGAGAAGAGGAGGGGGGGTGGGGCGAAGGGCTGAAACTTCTGGGTGCTGTGTTAGTAGCATCATGATATGGTGAGGACTGTGCTGTGCGTCAAACTGTTTTAACTCATTCAATGAGTGTACAATTATGGAGGCATCTGGGCCATCCAGATTAAAGCATTGATTCCCAGTGTAAGATGATAAGCTGATATCAGCCTGGGTCCAAAAGCAGCCATGAGTTGAAGAAATGAACTCCAGTAAATAATAGCAAGAACTCTCTAAATAGTATATTTGCACTTGCCATTTAAAGCTGGTTTCGTAGGTTTGATAAATGCAGCTGTAACAGGGAAGGAAGTTAACTTGTGTTCCCTCTTCTGATAGCTATAATATGGATTTGCTAGAATTGTGATATTTATTTCTATGGCACGAAAGAATACAGTGTCTCAAATGTGAGCTACCATCACATGAGGAAAGATTACTGGACTGAAATGTTAACTCTGATTTCTCTCCACAGATGCTGCCTGACCTGCTGAACTTTTCCAGCAGTTTCTGTTTCTGGCTCAAACGTGATAGACCCTTCCCCTATTATTGAGTAGCTCACTTCAATGAATTTCTGGAGAGCTGTTGATGGAACCATGCTTCAGTACAAATCAATGCCTCCTCCCTTCCTGAAAGTAAAAGAAAAGTAGCAAGAATTAGTGCAACTGAAGAGAAGTTCAAACCAAAAGAACTGCGGATGCTGTAAATCAGGAACAAAAACAAAGTTGCTGGAAAAGCTCAGCAGGTCTGGCAGCATCTGTGAAGGAAAAAATACGACTTAATGTTTCAGGTCTGGTGACGCTTCCTCAGAACTGCTCTGAGGAAGGGTCACCGGTTCCGAAACGTTAATTCTGATTTTTTTTCTTCACAGATGCTGCCATACCTGCTGAGCTTTTCTGGCAACTTTGTTTTTGTTGTTGTTGTGGAAGAAAAGTTCAGTCAGACTCTTCTAGGATGACTTAGTAATTGACTTCAACACAAAGAAAAATGGGAAACAAGTTTACTTTAGATTGCAGACGAACAATTATTGAGTCTCATAGATTCAAAATCTGTTACAATGACAAAAAATGCCAACTCTTGACATCTGAATTCCGTCAGCTGATTTACTATTTGGGATTATCATTGAAGTTAAAGTTATTTTAAATAGGGGCCAAAAATTCTGAACATGACCACAGGGATCATCTGACCTACACAGGTTTGCCATGACATAGGCAAGGATTAGTATAAAGTTTAAGCTGAAATTGACATTTTTCCTAAAGGCAATGAAATCAGACAGTGATACCCCTGGGAAGTGTGGGAAGACCCTCACTTACTATTTGATTCATAACACAATGAGAATTTACACATGTTGAAGATTAAATATCTTGTGCAGTTGCCAGTCTGGAAATAATAACCTCTACAAACATGGAATATATAAACTGCTTCTATTTTAAAGAACTTCTGGCAAGCGGTCATGTAATTAAGAATGCAGAACTGAACATAGGCGGAAAAAGCTCATCTCTCCAAGAAGAAGTGTACCTGGTTGACAGCCCTAGTTGGAAAGAATCTTGACTGTGAGCCAAGATTTCTTAAAATGTGAAAGCCTGCTTCAGTGGTACGGTCAGGGAAATAGATGCATTTAACACACTGATACACCAACTGTGCAACTTTGAGACCTCATAAGCCACAGAAAAAATAACACGTTTGTTATTGGACTTTTTAAATGCTTCCTGCAATCTTCAGCTCCCTCCACCTTTTAGATTAGTTAATAGGTTTACGTTTTCTTTGTATTCAGTGTTTCTGTGATTGAGAGTTTAGGAACCATATATTGCTTTTCTTAAAGAAAAATGTAAGCCTTGTACGTATTATTTCAATAGTTTATTTTGAAACTGTTTTAATTTTTTTAATATGTTGCTATTATGAGAAAACCTATCCAGTTTATTTCTGAGCATCGTGTATGGTTAAACTGTAAAATATTTGGGTTTTGTAATTCAACACTGTTATACAGATTGCAGAAGTAAGAAAAGAAAGGGAATTATTCACCCTTCTGATTGATCTGGAGAAGTCCCAAACCTCAGTTAAGGAAAAAAATTCCAGCAAAAAGTCACAAGAATATAAACGGTATATTTCTACATGCCATTTAAAGCTAGTCTTCTAATTTTCATATACAGCTGTAATACTGTGAAAGTTAGGTGTTTGAAAGGAAGAATTAGTAGGGCAGGGAAGATTGGATGTCGTAAATGATATTTTAGCTTTGTTTAATTATCCTGAACTGTAGACATTTTGGCCAGAGTAATGATTCTAATTTCAATTTTTGTTTCTTTGGGAAGATTGTCGCCGCTTAATTTTTTTTTTGGTAATTTGAATAAAATTGATCATTGTTTATGATCACTTTTTCACTTCCAAAATAAGTTTAGTTTTTTTAAATGGGGTATGATTTGCACCGAGTTCAATATTTGTTTGATCTATACAGAGAGAAAAAATGGCAACTGATTTTTCTTAACATTTCAAACTTATTACTTAAAAATCACTTTTGATCCACATATAATAGTTACTTTTGGATAGCAAGAACTGAAGATGCTGGAGTCAGAGGTAACACAGTGTGGAGCTGGAGGAACACAGCAGGCCAAGAAGCATGAGAGGAACAGGAAAGTTGACGTTTTGGGTCAGGACCCTTCTTCAGAAATAGTCTTGCTTCTTTCCTTTGTAGGTTTGCTGTAAATCCTCATATTCTCTCAATAATCCTCTGTTCAGTGCCAGTCACATGAGCTTTAAATCTCTCCTGGACACAAGATTTTGCTCTTCTATTCTGAAGGGAAGGAGGTTTTTCTCTTACGGACTCTGCAGCAGTATCAGAGACCAGCTCTGAATCCTTAAATATTTAGAACATAGTTGCACACATCAAAAATTGCACATGGCTTTAACAAATTAACATTAATGGCCACAGTGGACATAAACGCTTTGTTCATTGGAGATTATGTACCACTAGATTTAATAGCATCTATATCTGGACCACTGTTTGAATAACATAATGATTTGTGCTGATGTTGCTTTTGGTGGCAAAATGTGTTCACCTGCTGTGATGCAAACACATAATGCCCAGAACCAATGTATGGATAATAAATAATGGGATATCATAACTTATTTCAAAATGTTGTTTGGGTGTGTATAATTTGAATGACGTAATGAAATATCAGTCCTCTTCTTGGACATCTCAAATGTTCCCACAACTCACGTGACCTAAAGGTGACCATAGCATTCCCTCAGCTCTTGCAGATGCTCCTAGAAGTGCTGATGACCTTTCTGCCCCCAGTTCATGTTCCTTAAAATCTTCTTAAGATTAAGAATGATTACAGCTCTGTGCATTGCACAGAATATCTAAGATCCTCATTGCAATTAATTACAAGCCCTCTCTAATCTGTTGTGGTGAGCTTTCCTTATATTAATGTGATGATATTAGAAGGATCTAAAATCTTTATATCTCTGTACAAGGACATTTCAGAAGAAATGCTATCTATCTATCTTTGTTCAATTTACAGAAGAAAAAATGGTTTGAATGCAGAATTCACGGCCACAAAGATAGATTGGAGCAGATGAACAGATTGTATCAATCTTGATTTTTTTTTAACGAGATCAAGTGTTTGATTGGAAAATGATTATTGGAGGCTTACAGTTAACATAGTGCATCATTAAGAAGAGTGCAGCAGTGATTATCAAAATGTGCAGGTTCTGTGCTTTTGCTTTCAATAATTACTGCATCCCGAAGAAATAGGTTTCTAGTAGTGAGATTATTACCCAGATTTTTGAGAGGCTCAATCTGTACTTTGAAATTTATATTTCAGATCTAAAATGAATAAATCCTATTATCTGATTCTGACAGCATTTCACCAGTTTAGACTACTTCATGAAACGCGTATTTTTATTTGGCTTAAACAGTACATATTGAATAGGTTTCACCTCGTAACACGCACTGTCCAAAAGTCAAGTTGGCATTCATGCCGTTGGAGGGGCCTCCTGCTCGTGGAAGTGATGTTGTGTGAGGCAGGGAGATATTAATTTGGTGTGAGAGATAGTAGGAACTGCAGATGCTGGAGAATCCGAGACAACAAGGTGCAGGGCTGGATGAACACAGCAGGCCAAGCAGCAT